AAATTACTAGCTGTTTGGCAAACTATATTTTCTATCTTTATTAGCTTATTTTCAATAAGTGTTGTACTTCGTTGTTTATTAATAAAATGATTCATAATATGAATCATGATCTCTAAATATTTTAAGTTATATTTAAATAATCTATGAACGATGAAGTATACATGTATATAAGCATAACACTTGCTTATAAGAATATATATAAAGTATAACACTTGCTGTATCGCATTAACAAACTATGTTTTGTTTAAATGAATAATTTTTACGTATGCTTCTTTTATAATTTAATAAATTATAAAAGAATATTTATTAATTATTTATAATTTAATAAAATATAATTTATTTGTTTAATAACTTAATTAGCACTCTTTTTATCACGGTTTTGTGTATTCCTATTTCGACTAAAAAATATTTTTGGACATATTTGGTACAAATAGTATTAAACTTTATAATCTATCTTTGAAAGAGACATTTAGTAAATTTGATTAATCATTTTAAATATCGAAATCTAAATTCACTTGTTGTTTTTTTTTCTTTTATTAAATTTTGGAAATAAACTATTACTTTTAATGCACGTATTGTATTATTCATCCATTGTTAGTGTTTTTATTTCTTTTATGAGGTCATCTTTTTTTTTAGTTCGATACTAAAAGTTGTTACCTGAGTAGGAGTATCGATTGAACTTTGACAAACAAACTTCCACGAGGGAATTAAAATTTTTCTTTACTTTTCTAAAAATAACTTCTATGAATTATTTTTTGTTTTGTTTCTTCGTTCAAAGAAATTTAAATGTCATTGGTGTTTCTAATAGATTAATACAATTTACGATCATACGTTGTCTCTTGTTTTTATTCGTGCGTGACACGTGTCGATTTGTCGTTGTTTTCGTACGATTCTATTACATTAATATATATATATCTTCATTTAATATCAATTTACGAATAGGATTTTGTTCATTGGTTATTATAAAAATGAATTAGTTTAATAAATTTATTTTTGTTTTTCTCGTATTAATATTTTTGTTATGTTGGTCATCATGTTAATAAGATTTTGAGATAAATTACTTTCTATGACTATAACTTTTTTTATTACGAATATAAATCATTTATTAAATGTCCAAATAATTTTTATGTACAAATAAAGATTTAAATAACAATATTAAAATAATTAATTTTTATAATACTGAACAATAACTATACAACGAAATATGCGCGCGTATGCAATGTTCATATTATTTTGTAACAATATTTGTAATATTGTTACAAAACAGATAAAAATATTCTATTTATATTTTATATTTATATTTTATCTCAAACTATAGCCAAACGGTAGTGTTTCTTTCCTATTTGTATAAATACTTTTTATAAAATATACTTGATTTTTTTAAACTTTTCTTTCTATTTTTAATAATGATTATTACTACGATTTATTTTTTTTAAACAAATATTGAAAAAATATACTTATCATTAATATTGTTACATTCTAACTGACGAATATTGTTAAGTAATATAATTAAGCCTGTTGTGATAATTCTGCATTAATCGAGTTTTGCCGGGACCAGGTAGGTTCATTCTTCTAATAATTAAATAATGATAAAGAAATGGCAGGTTACACGAAACAATTATGTATGGATCAGATAAATAATAATGGAATGAGGAGATTTATCTGACTTATGTAAATTATGATTCTTCGCAGCTCTGATATATTTCCTTTGCCAAACCTAAATATTTTCGGAGGTTTTTGAGAACGAGTCCTATTATTCATTTCTTTGTTAACACTAGATTTACGGATTGAGCCAATTTGACTCATTTCAAATTTTTTTCTCACATACATATAAAACTTAAATATTATTTATTTTCCAAATATGTATATGTTGGTTTTTAGTTACGTAATGAAATATATGTAAATATTAATTCCTATCCTTTACCTAATCCTTCATTTAAACAATGTTTGTAAGTTTTTAAAAGATAATGAACAAAACATACGTAAATCTAATGTTAATAAATTAAATGGACTATGATTGGTTAATCTTTTATTTATTCCTTGCTTAGCTTGAATTTTACAATCGCCTTCCTTGTTTTTTTTTATATATATTTACCATTAAAAGACAGTTCCCATATTACTTTTATATAAATCACTGAAATATTATTGTTTTTAATTAAATTTATACTAATGTGAATAGAATATTACAGAAAAATGTGGCGAGACGTAACAATATATTCTATTTTTATTTCTTAATAAGTTTCTTTTTGAATTTCTTAGTTATTATTTTTTATTAATGTAAAAAACAAATTTTATTAATTTATTGACCAATTTAATATGCATAATTATTATAATAACTCGGTTCGTTAATTTTGATCAAATTTTTTGGGATTAACACAAAAATGGTTAATAGAGACATAGATAATTTAGTAATACAATTGTTACATCTTGTAATCTAATAAAAGATGTTTTCAGTTTTTGATTAGGTCGTGAGATCTTTACCAAGAATTGACCTTACAATAACGTAAATTTGTTATTGAGCAATGAGAAAGAAGATCGATAATATAATATAGAATTTGATTTGATTAGAAAATAAGTATAAGAGGGTTAGAATGATGTAATAGATTTAACCTTTTAATTAACAATTTGGATCGACGAATTAACTCGTTATTGTATTTTAAGGACAACGCAAATAAATTTAAACTAAATAAGTCATTGTGCGATTTACTTTTTATTAAAGAATATATTTATATTAGCATTCCTTATTCTTTAATAATTATTTAAATCACAAATTGCTATTTAACATTATTTATTGTTAATACATAAGGAATTCGCATTTCTAGCAACATTTGTTCTCCAATTAAAAGATGGAGGGATCAAATGGTCGTTTGTAAAGCACACGTGCTCATCACATGCACTTCATAGTTATTTCTTTGTTTGGAAACATTTTAAAAATATTTATCCTTGAAGAAACTTTAGACTTTCGCTAAGGGTATGCCATAGGATAAAAAAAGAACCACATTGCTTCTGTTTTTCCAATTTTAGATTTACTGACTAACAATAAGTACAAGAATTGTCTGACGTTTATTCTTAAAATAATTTTTTCTTTGTCATAGGAAATATAATCATCGTATGCAAAGGAACAATCATTTTTCATTGTTTATACAATCATTAAAAATATATATATATATATATATATATATATATTAAAGTTGATGTAAAGTATACGAGGAATTTGATAATACATTTTTATGAATAAAAGTTTTGGATTTTAAGATATATTTTAGAAATAATTCATTGTTTTATAAAATAATCAAAATTATGATTGCCCATGTATTAGGTGTGAAGATTATTTCTGTGTCTTTTTGAAAAATGATTACTTATGGTTAGTATCCTTTGTATACCATAATAAAAATGTTATGGACTTGTGAGAAACATAATTCATATTACAGTATACTTTTGGCATTTCAAATTTAAAAAATTGGCTTTTGAAGATACTGAAATGATTTGCCTAATAAAATATGCTTTGACTTGTAAAATAAAAACATATAAAATGACTTATAAAATGTGCAAAAAGTGGTACCAACGATTTATAATAAATAAAATAAAACTATGCTTTAAACATACGCCTAATAAAATATGCTTTGACTTATAAAATAAAAACAAAAGATGCTTTGACTTATAAAATGTGTAAAAAGTGGTATCAACGATTTAAAAGTACAAATTTCAACTTAAAAGATGACAAACGTTCAGGTACTCCCAAAAAATGTTTAATGCACAACATTAACGCAAGAAAACTAGGCAAACGATATCTTGACGTTTAAAATAATTGAATAAAATTCATAAGCTGAGGATGTTGCATCTTTGAATTGAGCTAAATGAATAAAACAAACATAGTCAAGATTACTGCAATTATTTAAGCAATTTCTTGTACAAAACTGTAATTAAGGATAACAAGTGGGTTTTATGTAACAACCCTAAGCGATAAAGATTATTGGTTGGCTTCGGGCAACCAATTTTTTTTTTCCAACCACTTTAACTTCAGTGGTAAAATCAAATATTCATTTGAAAAAAGATTTGTTCTCTGTATGGAAGAATTTCTGAGGTATTATCCATTACAAGTTGCTTTTGCCTGGTCAAAATAATAACTGCAGATTACTACCAATAACAGTTAATCAATTTATACGATGATTTTAAACGAAAACGATCGTTTGTCAGCCAAGAAACAAGGTATGTTATTTTCCATCGTAACCAATGTTCAATCATATGTTGCTCGAAAAACATGGGACAACATTTATGATTTGTTACGAGAAGCTTTTATTCATATGGTGTACTCTTCGAGAACGTGGCCCAATCCAATTACCATCTTTTTTAGGGCCTTACAATACTATTTGTAAGAGGAGCTTACTTACAGTCAGTTGAAAAAGTTCGTGAAAAGATTTTGTAACATGATTCTGTTTCTTGTGCTACCCATCAATTTGCACACCTAATAAATAAAAAATATTTAAAAGTATAACATATGTCGATAAAATTGTTTTTTATTTTCTTTGTAAAGTCTGTTCAAAAATCATCTTCAACGAAATATATCTTTTTTTTTTTTATTATAATAATAACAAATTTAATTGGAAGTATCAGTCTGTTACCATAAGGAGAGATTGAATAGTGCCCATAATTATGGAAGTGGTCTAGGTAAGTCATATAAATATGTTGTTTGAGATATTTCAAGGATTACATTTGAACTTTAAATGAATTCTATGTAATATTGAAATAACAAACACTATCTAATTGTTCATTTTTGAAAATATCATAAAAATTGCATTGAATTTATTTAGTTTAAAATAATGCTGCGTGAAATGACTGATTAATTCATTTCTATTTTTAAATTTTCACCTATAATTAGATCACTTTCATAATTATGGGTACATTTTAAAACTAAATAGAAAATATGTTATTATATAAATATGTTTATAAAAACAAAAATCAAAATAATAATAATAATAATAATAATAATAATAATAATAATAATAATAATAATGTTAAGTACATGCAACTTAATGGTTAGATAAATATAATTTAAGAATTTTCGGATTCTGATGTAATGTTAAGCCAAAAACCATTTTCGCTGGTTGTAACGAGACTACGTCTGCTAAATTTGATTGGATGAACCGTTTTATCGGAAACCTGAACTCCGTGGCTTCTTAAGAAAGAAATTATTCCAATTTTTATTTGCAATAGTGCAAACCGGATTCCTGAAAAAAATAAAAAATAAAATAACGATATAGTTAATACGTGTACGTCAAAGTACACATCGTAAATCCGTTATATTACGGAACGTAATAACACGTTATCGAGGCAAACATTATTTCGAGGATATATTACACGGTCATTTTATTTTCAGAAGAAGAAAATCATGATCAAATATAATATTTAAGATCGATAATAAAGCTGTTATAAATTATTGAGAAAGAAAACAATCCTATCGGACATCTCTAATAACTCTAATTGTAAACCACGTGTTTAAGTGATTATTCAAAGAAAGACAAAAATTCATGATAAGTTTTATCTTTCTTTGAAGCTTTGGTCAAAACATAATTGCCAATGACGTAACTTTCGATTAAGAATCTTTGATATGTCAAAATTTAACGACGTTATTTTCATTATCGAAAACAATAAAATAAACGATTATGATTTTATAAAATATAATTTATCATTAAAATTTACAAATTATTTAAAATTATTTTAATGATAAAATTATTAAAATTTTTGTAACAAAATGTAATTAATATCCTCGTAAATGCCAGGCTTTTTCAAAAGTCGCTTAATTTAACTTTAAATGAAAAATTAGAAATTATTTTTTACCAGATATTTGGAATAATGATTTTCCAATTATTTTTTTTTTATTGAAAAATAGAGATGTTTCTTTTCACATACAATTAGAGTATTTGAAAATAATCTTAATTTAAAGTATAAGATGTTAAATGTTACCTTCTGATTTGTTTGTATTCTAAATGTTTCGAAAACAAATAAAAACCTCGTTTTACATACAATCATATTTTTTAAAACACTGTAATTGCAGATTAATAAATTAATTAATGATATCAATCAATCATAATTCTATGAATGATCAAATTTATTATTTATGTTAATAATTTATTAATACTACAGTAATTATATTAATAAATATTTTTTTGTAAATTAAGCGACTTTAGGGAAAAACCTTCTATAATAAATCTAATTAAAACTTATGTATTAATTAATTAAATTATTGTTTGTAAAAAAAGGTTTTATTACCTATACAAGCACGTGGACCTTCACCAAATGGAAGATAAGTGTATGGGTGTCTCGTTCGTTTGTTTTCGTCAATGAATCTGTCAGGATTGAATACCTCAGGGTCTGGATAATGTTCTGGATCATGATGGAGACCGTAAATTGGTATGACTACTCTCATTCCAGCTGGAAGTTTTACTTCGCTACCAGGTATTTGATAGGTGTACTCACATCTTCGAGAAAGTAACGGAGCTGGTGGATACTTTCTAAGAGTTTCTGGAAGAATAATTAATAAATATATTATATAATGTCAATTGTTTATGTTTTTGTTGTTCAATTTTACTTTAAGTAATTAAATGATTGCCTATTTCATAAAAATAACAGATTTATCGATTACGTTAAACTGGCAAGTGTTATGCACAAATTCTAAATGTGCTATCAACTTTATAAATTTGAAACGTTCACAAATGTTAAGTTAAATTAAATTATAAATTATAATATATAATATTATTAATAAAATTAAATTGATTAAAAAATTTTAATTTAACGCGTTTGCTACAACAATTAATTATGAGTTTGAAATTACTTTAATTTGGATTATATTATTCTTTGTATACTCTTTAAGTAATATTTTATTGATATTCACTTGTACACATATAAAATATACTAAATAAATGTTAATGATGTAGATCAGGATTTCTCAGAATGTGGGGTTTGCATGGGGTCCCCATATGATATCACGTAATTTAATTTGGTAGGAAGCAAAAATGTTAACAAAACTAACGATTTCTGGATATAAAACTATCGAAAAATGAATTCTAAACGAGTTTGGTAAAACTACACGTATAGTATATCTGTGTGTGTAAGTTTATGGTAGTTAAAGAAAAGATAGTATAGAGTTTTATATATTTTCAGGATTAAGAAAATATTTATATAATAAATGAGGTCACCATGTGGAAAAATTTAAGAAACTCTGATTTAGATAAGGCGTATAAAATTTTTCAATTATGTTATAAATGAAATACACAAAAGATAAAAAAAAAGAATATAATTTACAGATGATGCACTAGCAGCTTTAAATTATTTTATACATCTGTTCATAAGCTTGATAAAGGCAAATGATTTAAAAATACAACATAAACAATACCGGAAATAAAGTGTTATTTTTGATTTCAATAAAAAATTTTTATAAAAAGTTCAACGATTTCTCGAGATAAAATATTATTTATAAGAAAATATAATAATCCTAAAAAATCTAAAAATAGTTCTACGAATCCACACGTGCAAAAAGTACAAACACGTGAGTCAATATCAGCAGAATATTTCTTTTATTTTTCTTTCTTTCGTTTGTTTTTTTAGATTTAAAAGAAATTTGTTTACTCACCTAGGATAACTAAGTCCAGATATTTCATATCCTGTACGGCATCGTAAGTTAATTTTCCGTCTCGTTTATTAATGGCATCGTTGATATCTCGCCTGGTTTTCTCCTGAATCTCTTCATTCAATGCCAATTCGTGCAAACAGAAGGCTATTGTGTTCGATGAAGTTTCATAACCAGCTACGAAGAAAACGAATGCCTGGGCAGCGATGGAATTTTCATCGAGTACTGAAAATGAATTACACATACTTGGTAATAAATTCGATTGATCGAAGTAGGTCGTTTCGATTGTTTGCGAAAAAATACTGTCGAATTTTTTATTTCTTGTTTTTTTTTTATTCTATCATACATCAAAGGAAAATACTCGACAGCAAGTTGTTGCAGTAAATGAGGTTGCTTCATTGTATGTATTTACTAACCAAATATGAGTCCAAGGTTTCTGTTATGTTTTTTTTTTATGTAGTGTCTGATCATTTATATGTCTTTAAAGTGTGACAAAGCAAATTACATTAAAAGATGATGAATTATTGTAGTGTCGCGACCATTAAATAACGGTTTCTTCGACGGAAATTGTAAAAGTGTCATAATTTGCATAATTTAAGGTTAACTTCTTATCAAACGTACGAATGAATAGAACGATGCGAAATTAGAAAACATCGTCTTATTTCTTACACACTTTATAATATTGGATTCATATTTTTATTATACAAATAGTCCAACTAACAGTTTTTACTGTAAATAATGAAATAATTGATATTTGCTTATAAATTTACACAGGAATATATTTTAGAATTATTTAATTTATAAATTAATGGCCAATTTTATTATTACAGAAATAATATTTTATTTAAATGATCAAAAATTGATCTGGCACACATACACACAACAGTATTTGTTATTATATAAGATATAATAAAAATATAATAATTGTTTTGATAAAGTAGTATTCGGTTAGGTCTTCTTTGTATCTTGTAATGCTTTTGAAACGATTGGATATATCTTATTTCCAATTTTCTTATAAGTTATGTTAAATTTTACTTATCTTATAATATAATGTTTTTTTTTTGTAATAAAATAATTCTAAAATAATCCTAAAATTATTCTAAAATATATTTTTGTGTAATATACTTTAACAATCCTAAAATATATTTCTATGTATAAGAATCGTGTAAATATTGTATGAGAAGAAAATTTGTACTTTAAATTGGCGTGAACTTTCCTGGCAATTTAATTACTTGTTTTGCTTTCACCCACCCCTACCTACCTTTCTCCCTCTTTAAAAAAAATCGTATTTTTCTAGTCATTTAGAATGCAAGTTGTTTCTATTTGTTTTTCTCCTTCTATCTTGAAAAGAACGCGTAATAGAAAAACAGCAAAACCAGTTTCAGTTTATTATTTTCTTTTATCAACGAACGTGTCTATATAAAAATAGCTTACTATTAGTCACATTTATAGTCATGATATATTACTTTAGTATATCTTCTTATTCAAAATTCACTCGACAATGTACGCTAATGTCCATGGAATTCGAGGAACGTGATAAATATTTACGAGTAAAGAACATTGGCTCGTGACTCGATTAAACTGATTAACGTTCAACCGAGAGAAGCATATTTAACACCTTGCTAAAAAGTATTTTAACGAACGAAGATATTTTCATCGATTTATTAGAATTATTTTTATATCCAAAATATTCTCACGTTTATAATTCTTTATTTATATTATTTATTTTCATATTGTTTGATTACTTCAATAGTTATAATTTAAATAATTATTTATTTTTGTTTTTATTTCTTTTTCTTTAAAGATAAATAATTTCACACTTTTCAATTTTGTATTTTTTTCTTTTTTCAACATGTACGCGTATAATGACATAATTTTGTAATTATGATGCAGCTGTGAGGTTTAAAGTTCTTTGTAAAGTACCGTTATAATTGCTTCTTACTATACTGATGCGAGTGTTTGCTTCTATTCAAGGTTAAATAGACAATTTTGCGCCGAGAAATCTTTATTTTTTTTTTTTTTTTACATTTGATTAAAGTTATATTGTATTTTATTAAAATATCAATGACATAATTTTATTACTTATACAGGTTTTCTCAAAAGAGCTAAAAAAGTTATATATTTGTTATTGTTGATATTTGATTTATATTTTTTTTTAACAATACTGTATTTTGCGAATCAAATCTTGAATGATAAATCAAATATTGTAATTCTTTTAATAATGTTCTGGATTTTTGTATTCCAATAAAACGATTTTGAATCATAATTTTATAGTAATTTTTAAGTTGTGAGATTTTTGAAGAATTACTATACCTGTCAAACAGAATTTTTAGAATAATTCTATTTAATAATTCAATATTAATATTATTACAATTTTTCTTTTCTCATTAAATCCTCTTTTAATATAATTCCTGTATATAATGTAATAATTGAATAATAATATCGCAATTATAAAACTAAAGAATTTAAACAAAAATGCACGATTCGTAAATTGGTATTTCTTTTTTGCAATTGTTATATTAATCTTTCAAATAATAATGTTATTTAACAATAAAATATTAAAACAATTATATAAATAAATATCTTACCTATTTCTTTAGCAGCTTGAACATCATCTTCGTTCAAGGATTGAGTTATCGATCCAGCGTCGTTTTCCAAGTTACCTTTGTTCTTCAGTTCAACCAAAAGATCCATAAAATCATGTCTCCTCTGGTCACTGATCTCACGTTGTCTGATCATCTGAGAGACAACGTTCTTGAAAAACATGGTGACCTCAGGATCAATAACCTGAACGTTTAGGAACTTGTAGAGCTTAGGCATGGCTGTACGTAGCATTCTCCATAAGGTTGCCTTGTAACTTGGCCTTGAAAGTTTTTTCGCAGCCCTGTGAAATTCTGAATCCTCATCGGTCAATGCATTTATTTGTATGCCGAATGCACAAGTACCGATGACGTCTATTGTAAATTTAGCTGCAAGCTCGCGAACTTCAACGGCCGTTTTGTTTTCACATGCTTTGTTTATAAGTATTCGAAATTCTTCGGAACATTCGGCCAATAAATAAAACATTCGTTTGAGTTTGCCCGAAGAAAAGGTAGGTGTCAATTTCGATCTCAATCCTTTCCATTGTCTTCCTTCCAAATTGAACAGATGACCGGATAATGGATCCTTTAAAAGGAATTATTTATTTTATATTATTTTATATATTATTTTATTTTATATTTGATTTATGGTAATTTTTTTTTAATAACGACATCATAACAATTTTTTTTTTTTATTATTGTCGCATATAGAATGCATATGACCAATGATCGTTAAAATAATACGAGTATGAGTTTGAACGTGTTTTATTGCGTTTCACGTTTTTAAAATGACCACAAAGCGTTTTATTACCTGAGAGTTATTGATTGGTATGCCACGATTAGCGAAACATACGAAATCCTTAACACAGATGCTCTTCACAAGATCCGGATCCCTCAGAATTAATATCGGTGATCTGACACGATATACACCGAAGAATTTTTCATTTTTAAACCATTCGTACATTTCCTTTATACCTTCCGGTTGTGATTTTCGAAATAATAACAAAGGTCCAAAATTGCCGAGCAAAATTGTCGGTTTTTTAAACGGGACGCATAAATTTTCCCAAAAATTAAACGTAGCAGTAAAATAAAAGTACAAAATGCCTAATAATAGTCCAATCAAAACGAAAGGATCTAAAAATCCTTTTAACAATTGCAACATCTTGAAATCCTTTTTGTGTTTTGTAATTGTTTATTCGATAACGATTGAATAAAATATTACTTTTTCGTTTGTTGTTGTTGACTCGGTTAAAACGAAAGATATTTCGCGCAAACTTTTTATTTTTTGATAGTCACGAAATTTGTTTTTTTTTTATCTACGTAAAAAAAATTCTAATCTAATCCGATAAGAAAAGAATGTTTCTACGGTCACGAACGTTTAACATTCCAAACGATAACAACTCGTGTTCTAGGAATAATATTGTTAAAAGATTTAACGATTTAATTGGTGATCATAGATAAAGTATCACGTTTGAAAAAATGAACAATTTTCAATCGATAAATCGAATCGCGTATTTTACGTTGACTTTTTTTAAACGAGTCAAGTGATGACGACGATGTAGTATCGATTTACTTGTCACTGAAACTCTTAGTAATCGATCTGCGATCGTAGCACGTGAGGTAGGTATTGCGGTTATAAATCAAAACTCGAGTATCGATGAACATGCACAACGTAAATATAACGCGTGTACATAAACATTGGACAATGAGACAAAAAAAGAAAAATTAATCAACATTCGATTCTCTTTCTTGTAATAAAGAAAGAAATGAATTTTCAATTATTTTGAAGTTTAAATCAACTAACGGTCAATGTTATCACCAATCAACTTATTATCGATTAAACTTCTTTGATCGATTCTTACGATTTTTAATTTACACTTCTTTTTGCACGTCAATAACTAATATTAAAAAATATATATATATAATAAAAATGAAAGAACAATTCTACAGTTCTCGTTTTCACGATATATTAATATTACGAAATTAATTTTACAAATGAATGATCGATGAAAATGTTCTTGTTAGATTTCTACGATCTACTTCTCCAATTTTTTTTCTCTTTTTTACAACAGTTCACTAACTTTTATTATAATATTTCTTGTATTAATAAAACTCAATACGATTCACACGATATAACAAACTTTCGTATATGACACTTTTCATTTATCAATCGATAAATTTGATATTTCCCAGTAGAATTGTCTTCTCTTCTCTTTCGATCAAACTGTTACCCGAGTAAAACACTGTTTTATACAATTTATCCTCGTTCATTGATATAATTTGATGATGCATCCTGCGTTACGATAAATCTTCGCGTCATTGTTAACTAAAACTGTGACACGAGTGACACGAGAAAGGAAGGAAGCAAAGAAGAAAGGAATGTATGTATATAAATACAAAGAGAACGTGTTAGGAATTGGATTTAAAAAAAAAAAAAAACAATGATATAAATAAAGCTAATGAAATATATATATTGTGTGTTGGTGTTTGGGTGCGATAGGTTGGCGCGTGCGTACCTTGCACCCACCCAACCAACCTCGACTGGTACGTCGTGAACGAACGCGGACGCATTTATAGGAAGACCACGTTGTGTGTACTGTCTGTACGAGTAGTATGATTCTGTCCGCCGCGTTAACACACACTCTTTCTGAACAACTTATGCGTGAGTTGGCCACGAGGCAAACACAACTATGAAATACGAACATATACTTTATAATCTCCTCCGTTCTCCGCTTATCTCACTCTCTCTGACGAAACATTCTGAATTTCCTCTCCCTTTCCCCCTCTCCTCCTTCTTCACCCTCTTTACTCTTTTTTTTTGTTCTATTTATTTTCTCTTATCCCCATTTCCTTCTTCTATCATCTTATTTTCTTACACTCTTTTCTATCTTCCTCATTTTATTTTCATTTTATTTTGTTTTGTTTTGTTTTGTTTTGTTTTGTTTTGTTTTGTTTACATTCTTTCTATCAATAGTAATCGCTCGACATACTTTAAAACAGATGTCACAAATTCTTCTTCTTTTCCGTCTTCTATTTCTCTGTTTTTAAATATGAATGAAAGAGAATTGAAAAATCTTTTGCGGATGTTTACCTTTTCTTAGTCTCTAAGATATGTGACGGTATTCTCGTTTAAATCTTTTAAATGACTGTAACAACTACTAAAAACTCGTTTTATTTTTTTTTTAAATTCTTTTTCTACTTCTTTTGGTAGTGGTAAGTATTTACGTTCACTCGTGACAAGAATTCTGGAGTAATACTAATCTTCTATCTTCTTTATAATGATTTTATTTATCGATGAAATTAATTGAATTTAATTTTATTGGATTATGTATACAGATAGTTAACGAAATTAAGTTATTAGTAATTGAAATATTTTTTATTTTTTTTTTTCAGATGTCATTTTTCGTTTTTGTATGTGAAATTTTTAAAGGAGACAAAAGTTGTTGGATAATTATAAAAAATATGATATTATTCTTTTTTCGATAATATTTATGTTTGTTGGTAAGTTTCTAGTTTTATGAGTTAAGTTTGCATTTATATAATATGAACAAAATTAGTTTAAAAAGTTTCAGAATAAAGTAGTCTCTTATTCTAAGAGTTTTGAAATTACTCAGAGACTTTTTGTTTATCTTAAATGTTAATTGTTATTAGTTGAATTAAACTAAAAGTTATTAGATAATTGTAAAGATCGATTACTATTTTTTGACAACACATTAAAGCTTGTATTTAAACTTTAAATTTTACAAGTAAGGTTTGCATATATATTTTCAATTAGTAAAAAAATTAAGTTACATAATTCGAAAAAAAATAGTTAATTAATTTTTAAAATTACTTAAATTTAAAAATATTCGAACATTTAAAGAAATTTTTTATTATTATATTATATATATAAAAAATAATTATTATTAAAAAATAAATTATGTTTTTAAAAATAATTATATATATATTTGGAAAAATGGTAATTAATTTCTAAAATTATTTAAAAGTATCCGAATATTCTAAGACATTTTGTAATATCCTATATAAAACAATAATAATATTTATTAAAGCTATATATGTATATATTTGATCGTTTTTTTTTAAATCTAAATCGTGTAGATGCTGTTGTTAAGTAGTTAATATCATTCCTTTTTGTATTATACAATAATATTGTTAGATTCGTAAAATAAAACAGGATGTTTTACAAAGTAATATCCCATTGACAGGAAATGTAAATAACATATAAAAGGTAAAGAAGAGAGTACCTTGAATGCAAGGTTGTCTCGTTAAACAGAGGAAACGTGTTCTTTCGTAAATGAAAATAGATCTGACTTTCTGTGATCCTTTACGACGTTGATACCTATGTATTTCTATATATGTATACTACTATAGCTTGATTCTCGATGAGAACAGATGGTTGAAGTCTGAGATGTTAGTCGTTGGTTCTGCATTTTCGTACCTTTCTCCGTTAACCTTCTTCTATTTTATTCGTTGCGCATAAACTGGATGTAAACAGGGGCATACGGTTGATTCAAAATAGTATTTTATAATTTCAATAAATAATTATTTGAAATTTTATTAGTTTTTGAATAAATTTTAAGTCAAATTATCTAATATTATTATTATTATTATTATTATTATTATCAAGGGTAAATTATATATTGAATGATATATTATAATATTTAATAAATATTGAATTATATAAAATATAAATATTAAGTAAATAAAATAAATTTAATTCAATATACAATTAATTATGTAATTATTTAATATAGCACGGGATTGTTTTAATTTTGGAATTAAAATTCTACGTTTGATGTAATAATTTTTCAGCATTTACTTTTGGAAAAATATTATAAATATTATTTTATTTATTATTTAAGTCATCATTAAACGTGTTACTATATTTATTTATTGTTTAAACATAAATTATATAATTCTTTTAAACTCTTCAGGATCGAATTATTGATTTCACTAATAGCATAAAAATATTTCTTTTGTATTTTAATTCTTTTCAGATAAATTAGATAAATACAATCTAAAAAAAGTAAAGAGAGAGAAAGAGTTAATCTTTAAAAATTTTCTTAAATAATTCAAAATAAAAAGAAATGTCTACAAAAATATTACAAGGTTATGAAGAGGTTAAGTATACCGACCATTTTATATACCGGTAACTGAATTAGTATATTTAAATTTTTATACTCAAGTATACTTGAGTACACTCAAATTACTATACTCAAACTTTTGGTAGATATATTTAATATTTAATCATTAATAAAATATAAATTTGTCGTACATTTGGTTTGTTTTATTTCTTTCATAATAAAAAATTTGTATACGCAAAGAAACATATATTTATCTAAATATAGGATCTGATTTTATATCAATTGATCGCTTGTTGTTCATCTTATCATTTTATCAGAAAATCGTGCACGTTGAACGTGACAGAATATAATATGAAGTTATATCTTATATTAGTTAAATATATCATAAATACCATGTGTGAGTGCATACGTACATATATGCGTCGATAAGTATATAGGATAATTTATAAGTTGTAATTGACAAAAAATTATTCAGGAAGCTACTAAATAATTTTTTTATAAATTCATTTAATAATAGTTTACAATATAATTTGGTATTGTCTTTAATAATATTTAAATTTAACATAAAATTGATATTCAAATATATTCGAATATATTTAAAAAAAAAAAAATAATACTTTAATCAAATTTTTAGATTAATAAATTGATAATTAAAATATTCGAACTATTGATGAAAATAAAATACAAATCAATTATTGTATGCATAATTTGTTATATATATACATGTGTAAGAAGTGTAATAAATCATAAAAAAAATATATTTCAGTATTTATAAAATAAATTTTGTACTTCAATGAAAAAAAAAAACAAAACATTTTTATTGCAAACTTCTTATTTTTACAGATTAACAATAAATACATTTAAAATGTAATTTTTTTATTTATTATTTTATTTCCAAATGTTTCTTTTTTCTCTCATATGATAGGATATAATAAAAAATATATATCTGTAGTAAAATATGTAGTGTTAAAAAGTTTGTAAAACAATGTTTGATAATTATTAATGAAACATCCTGTATTATATTGTTATCGTTTAGTGTGGGCGAGATACGGTCATGAGAATTCTACGTTCTTGTGTGGGCCGAAATACGTTGTTAATTTGAACGTGATACAGTAAATGCTGTCGTATTTCATTCTTTAATGTTTCTAAGCACGTCAAGTCAGCACAACAAACGTGAAATATTATATAAGAGATTTTGATTTGAGATAAAATCAAACGTGATTAAATTCTTCTCTTATTGCCTATAAATTATTAAACGTATATGATTCGTAAGAGATTATAATTAAATTACAAAGGAAACTCTATTATTATTATTACTATTATTATTATTTATTTGATGTATATACAATTTTCATTATTATTTTTAATATAACTAAATATATTTTTGTAAATGATGCATATCCTGTTTTTGAATTCGTTGACACATAACTTACTTAGATTTTTGTTTACACAATAAGAACATGATTAACCGAGATTTTTATTATCGGGTCTTTCGATTATTCATTATCTCATGTTTTTTAATAAAAAAAAGAAGAAAAAAAAATAGGAAACATATGAGTTAAGTCATGATGAATTTCATCTTTTTTCTAAATTGTTGTTCTCACTATATTATTTTATTTTCTCTTATCTTTGATAGTATTTAATGTTACTGAAATATTATTTAGAACGTAGAACATCACTTCTAAGAGGAAAATAATTGTAGTTTTGATATATAGAAGATTAAAAAATTATGGAGAATATGATTCAACAACTTTGTAACGACAGTTGCAGTTGATTTCATAATCAGTGTAGAAAAATCTATTGTAAAGGAATGAAAAAATAAATCATAAGGAAAGTTATGAGATTTTAATACTATTTTTATCAAAGATGTTGAAAAATTGAAATTTGAAAATATTATTTTATCATATAAATTTTCCCCCAGATTACTCTGGTTAATTAAAATGTTATTGCATTTAGAAATAATTAACTAATTGAAATGTAAATTTTTAATTATAACAAAGTATATTTCATTAATTCGATTCATAATTAGAAATGTTTAATATAACGAGCAATTAATAAAATATAAAAAAATTGTTTTAATCTTAATTGTTAATGTAGATAAAACTTAAAAATATTTCTTTAAAATTCTAGCATAAAATATAAATTAATTTCCGTAAATTTTACATCAACTAATGAAAAGTAATAACTAAATCAATGTATCATTAAATGATAAGATTCGATTATATCATCTGAAAATTTTAGTAGTTCAATTATTATTTGATCAACTGTTGGTAACTAACCAACAAGGAACCCAAGGATGCATTGCTTTCGGTTTCATCAAATAGACGATAGGCGGTAATTGTTTCAAAGAAAAAAAAAGATATAGAGAACTTGAAATATAATTTAAGAATTTAAACTAAACAATATATATATATATAATATTTATATGACTTTTTATTGCATTCGTTCTTTGTATTATTAAAAGTATTATAATGATATATTACTTACAATATTATTGTTTATAATAATTAAAATAAGTTTACACAGAGTCTTTTCAGAATGATTTTAATAAATAAAAAAATTAATCATAAAAAAAAATAAGAATAATAATTATATATATTGGATTTATTAATAAATTTTTAAGAAAATTTTTTGTGGAATATTCTAAAATAAGCAAAGTATGTGTACACT